ATGCTTTTTATTCCCCTTTTTTGGGTGTCCTTGAGTTTCTCTCATGTTGGCTTCAAAAACTTTAGAAGTTTGGTAAAAGCCCCCGAGAAACATACAAATATAGAATAAATAAATTAAAAGTACAAGTCTCATAACTCTAGCACTCAAATGTATTTACTTATTTTTGTTGCTTTTACCATACCATGCCATACCATGTTTATTTAGAAAGCACATTTAAAAACAGCATGACAGCTGACCAAAGTGCTGTACAGTATTAAAAAATAAATAAAAGACAAAGTAAAATTCAGATAATAGAGATTTTAAAACGTACTACTGTCATATATTCCAGACCTTTTGATAGTATGTTTTTAGTTAGGTTATTGAGCTAAAATTTGGTGTTAATAGCTTGTTTCCATTTTAGGAAATACAGGAAATTTCCAGAAGAGGGGACGTTGCGGGGAAAATTTGATGGCCCGGTCCTCTTAGCCATTGTGTGTCCATATCAGCTTGTCCAGACTTTGTTAACATGTCAGCATATTGCAACCAGTGTGGTTGAATAATGTTACCATCCATGGACATTTATAACATTTTAAGTTATATTTTTTCAAAGTACGTCATCATGTAAACCCATTCAGGAGATGGGGACAGGGACTGTGTGACATAAAAAGGGTGTTCATTGAGCAGAAGAAGTCTTGTAGGTAACACTTTAAAATAAGGGTACCTTTATTAGCGTTACGTGGTGCATTATTAAGCATTAATAAACCATTAAATTAATTATTACTAACTATATTAATCTTAGTATTACGTAATGCATCACTAAGCAGACCCCCAGCCGTTTGTCCTAACATTAAGGATACTTAATAGTTAACAATATTGGGAACGTTAATAAAGCGACCCTTTGTTTATAAATGCTTAATAATGCCCTAAGTAATGTGAATAAAGGATCACTTTAACAACGCTTGGTAGAACTTCATAAAGAAGCCAATTTCATGGCTTGAGGAGCAAACCAAACCACAATTTTTGCAGTTCGGTGTTTAGAAACGTTGATAATAAAGCTATACGAATGCTGCTTGTTTTCTTTTCCTTCTCTTCTGCTTCACCAGCAACTCTTTTAATTTTACAAATGCTGGTTGTTTGGCGACTTCTGCCAATGTCAGTTACAACAAACCAGCCTGAGCTAACCACAAGTTCTGCTCATCAACATTATCGGGTCATTTAAGTACATACCCCTGTTTGGGTACTCAATTGGCCCCTGAAATGACCAGGAGAGTGGTCCTTTTGCGCCAGCCCGGAGAAATGGAGACACATGAAAGCTGCAAAGGTCTGGTAAAATTACCCGGAAGGTCCAAAAATTAAAATGGGTCTACAGTATCCAAGAGTCATTCCCAATACACACCTTGAGTCCTAACAGTTTAAGGGAGCTATTTTCAAGATTTAAGTCCATTGTTTACCATTGAAGGTGATCATTTTGTAATTCTTGCATGACAGCAGACAATATACATTTCATCAGTGATTACTAGGTCTTTATAGTTTATGATATAGGTTTGAAAACATAATTTCCAACCTCTTTGTTTCATAAATGCATCAGAGAACAGTACAATCACAAGGGTCCTGTTATCATATTGTTCATTTTACCTATCCCGTCTGAGTTGTTCTTTGGCATTGTTCCTTCTGCTCAGATTTTTGGTGACACATGAGGAACATGAAAAGGTGTGTTTGTGGCAGGTGTCACAGTGATCGCAGAAACCATTAAATGTCGCCACACTGACAGCTGTTCAGGGTCATTTATCAAATGATGGAGTGAAAGTGAAAATTGGAAAGACGAGGCAAACAGGAGTTGATGCAAATCTGCTGATGAAGGGAGCGCACAAGTTGATGAACATTCCTTGGACGATTACCCCCAGGTTCTCCTGGTCCGTGGTAGTTACTCAGATGTTTCTCACTTTTCCTTACTGAAAAGTTAGCTCTTGCTTTAGAGCACATAACTGCTTTTAGCTTTTTACATTTTTTTATATGTCCATTTCATACATTTTTATATTTCTTTTTAAACAAATGATCATATTCAAAGGAACTGAACATGCCAAACATGTCAGATGGTTTGACCAGATTTAAGCATAACACTACAATATCAACTTTAGAATGAGGTTATCTCAGAACCAGAATAAAAATGTGCTTCATTGGCCAGAATTGACACACAAACAAAGATGTGTCATAAGATAGTACTGGTTAAATACCCATTTGTCCAAGTTTTTGTTCTTGCACTTTGAGGAGCGGTCTTAACCCCGATGGGGACTTTTCCCTCATGTCACTACCATCCAAACACACCCACTTTTGTGCACAAAGGTTTCCTATATCCACACGACACAGACAGGAATCATCTCATGCTGTTTGCTCTTGTTTAGCCACTCAACGACGGAGACCTTTATCAGAGATGACCAGCGCTGTGCCCACCTTCCTCGCCTCCAATACTCCTGAGTTATAGAGCCCCTGCTGATTCTCCTTAAAGGGCAGCCAGATGAGGGAGAGAGATGCAGCATATGCTTAACACTCAGCCCATGGCTCCAGACACTCCTCATCCATCACTAACTGCCCCACGCCACCCCTTTTTGCCTGCCAGTGAATTACAGGCCATCTAGACCGTACTTACATTTAGCTGAATAATGTTAACCAGTTCTGTAGAAGAGAAGCCATTTGGAGGATTTTTGGCTAAAATAAAGAAATGCTTCATGTTTGAAAACAGTTTTGGGTTTGCAGTTAGATGATTTATGGGCAAAAATATCATTTTTTTTCCCTGCAGGCATACCCTGGGGTATTTTTAAACTCATGGATCTTTCTGAATGAATATTAATCCCTTTGATGCTGTAAAGCCTTCCTTTATTTCCTAATGCAATAGAAAGCCTTTCATCTAAAAATATAAGGAAGCTGTAATTTTCCCTTTCTTTGTTCTTTTAATAAATTGGCCCACTAGTCTGGATTCAGAATACAATTGCATAATGTTTATTTATTTCCTGTAATGAATGTTGCACAATTAAAGCAGAACACTGTCAGTGCAAAACAAAGTGGGAATAAAGTTAATCTACTTTTTAGCAGTTAGAAGTTACAGCTCACTTAGTGAACTTTTTTTTTAACCTACAGTTATCAGTGGGAATTAAGGAGCTCCAATCTCAATAATGTATGTATAGTGGAGACGGGCTTACAAGATTAGAATCCAGCTTCATTTAGGTGTGTGTGCATGTGTGTGTGTGTGTGTGTGTGTGTGTGTGTGTGTGTGTGTGTGTGTGTGTGTGTGTGTGTGTGTATGTATTTGATTTTTACGTTGTCCCTGAGTGTAAGTTTTCTGATGTTAACAATCAGTAATGATTGTAACAGAGTCCTGAAACTGTGATTCAGAAAAGGATAACTTAAAGCTAATGGCTCAGTTAGTGAACATTTATCCACAGCTACGCTTTGCCCAGTGAGGCAGTTAGTTGTTTAAAAGCCAGAGTACGGGGTGCAAGGCCCATTGTGTGTTATGCAACTACTTGCACCACTGCCTTAGATGCGATTTGTAGACTCTTCTGTCTGTTTAGAGATACCTGATGCTTCTGGAGAAATTCAGTAAACATTCAGAAGGGATATTATAATGCGTTGCAAAATGTGCCAATAAACAGATGCAACCCTGGAGACTCATGGAGGGCTTACACAACTTTAGCTACGACTTAAGTTCTTGCAGTTTAAAGTGACAGTGCATATTTTTCTTAGCGATAGGGGCAGTAGATACCTAAATTGTTGCAAGCGAGCAGTGTTTTTGTGTTGGAATAATACCTTACCAATGGAGGCCCATTAGGGCCAAAATGCCCTGGGGAGTGCAAACTTCAGCAAAATGACAAACACATCAGACTCCCTTTCATCAGTGGCAATGGGTGAAGAGGTAAATGTGTAAAACAACAATGTTTATGAATGGTGAAAGTTTTGTAACCGTTTGTTACAAATCAGTAAATCCATTTTGTCCTCATGGGCTCCCGTAGAAGAAAACATGGCATCCAATTTGGCGTAGCCCTGAGACTCAGGGTGTTTCTCAATGTTAAGACACCTGACCTCGCAAGGCGATGTCTTGCGAGGCCAGGTGCCTTGCTTACGAGGACACTGTCCTTCCTTGGTCAAAGAAAACGGTTAAATGGTACAGACTTTCATCACGTGACTGTGGTTTCCATGGTGTCATGTGACGTCACGTAACACGGGAGATAATGTTATATTTTATGTGTTTTAGTTACACGTTATAGTTTAGATTAAAATATATGACAAGCATTTTACTTTTTTAATTGTGTATGTTTATTAAATTTAAATATATAAACGAGTTACTACCTGCTAGCCACCAAAGCTGCAAATACTAACCAACTAACCAACCATAAATAACTTCTTTGGATAAAAAACCAAATCATTTTAAATTAGTTGACTTACTTTTAAACTTGAAATTGGCCCCCAAATTAGCTGCCGGCTTCTGATCCACGATTCTTTAGAAAATAACGTGGCATATACAGTAAATTTTGCACAGTGAATTGTAAATGTGACTGATATGACAGCTTCTATAATTTTTGTTTGTTATGGATGTGATGCGATATGATTTTTGATTCTTGAATATAGTTATTTATTGCTCTGTGTAAACGCTCCGTTTTCACCTATTTAGATTTTTCATGAACTCTGAAGTGTGTGGTAACTTATTGGTATATTATTATAGCAATTGAGGTGGTACGATTATAATGAGCTCCTGGAGTTTGTTGTTGCTGGGTGTGTGTGTGTGTGGGGATGGGGATGGGGGTGTTTTGTTAAATATTTGTAATGAAATTGAAAGAGACCTCAGGAAGAATAGCTCCACACTATGGTGTGAGCTAATGAGGTTCTCAATAAATAAATAAATAAATAAATAAATATTCTGGGAAATGTTTGACCATGGTTAGGCTACAAGACACATCCTTGCTTGGCTAGCTAAACGGCTAACAAATGGAGAACATGAACATTGGAACACACCTTGGTGGCTCCTAATGACGTATCTCCTAGGCAACCGAGGTGGGGCAAAGACATCAAGGCGAGGTTCCTTGGCATTGAGAAACACCCTTAGACCCACTCCAATGTATTTTAGACCTGATTTTTATGGTTATATGTTAAGAAGTTCCCAATATTTATCAACCAATGGGCATTATTTAATTCATTTTCAACAACATTTTGATAGATATTTCCAGAGATTAACGATAAAAACTACACATTGTCCCATTAAAGAGAAGGAAAATAAAAATGATAAATCCCTTCAAAGATTCAGCCAGCTGATGCAAAAATAGCTCAACTCCATTGGTCTTTGGAAGGTGCTGTTAGCAAGTTGCTTTGTCTCCATGAGTGAGAAAAATTGAGTGTCACAGTGGTGTGGACCAGCCAAGGACCCAGAAGTATTGGTTTAACATTGATCTTTTTAAACTTTGAGGTCTGCTGACCTCCTGCTCCTGTGCAGCCCTAGAATGAATCCTGAGGGGAGCGGGCTTTCTCATTTGCTACCCCCAAACCCTGTCACAATCTGCCCCCTCACTAATCATCTCACATAATTCACAGCAGTTGTTCCAGTTCTTGTGTTTCAGGTGGGCGTGTCGGAGAGCCAGCTGCTCCTGATCTCCCTGATCAGAGGACCAGGGGTACTTAAGGAGCGGTGTGACGCAACTCCAGTGCCGGTTGATACTCACATCTTGGGTAACACTTGCCTGTCTCAGCTTAGTTTTTGATACTCTGTATTTACTCTAGTCTGTCCGTTACTGTCAGCCCTGGTCTTGTATTCTGAAAGGATTTCTACTCATCTGTCCCTCAGGATTTACTCACCACCGCCTGGAGTTGTTATTCTACATCACGTCGCTCACCGTCCCTTGGTCTCCTCTCTTTCCGCTGCCCGCCTGTCATCCTACCCGCTTCCAAGTCTGCCTACCGACATCCTCCAGATCTGCAGCAATACCTGCCTCACTATCTGCCACACAACCTGTTCACTCACCCCAGCCTGGATCCTCCGCCTCTGTGTCCTGTCTGTCCCCGTTTGGCTTCAACTACCCAGCCCAGCCTCACCAAAGACCAAAATGTTCCCAGTAAGAGAAACTCTCCAAAATCATTCCTGTTCTGGTTCTCTGGTTCCAGGGTTTGTTTTTGTGATTTTAATCCCAGTCTGTTATTTCATTCTAGGTCTCGGTCCCTCCTGTTCTCGTTTGGAACAGCGCTTTATTTTTACTATTCGTCCTCCGGGTCGGGGGAGAGGTCCTACCTCAAGTGGAGGAGTTTAAGTATCTCGGGGTCTTGTTCACGAGTGAGGGTAGGAGGGATCGGGAGATCGACAGGAGGATTGGTTCGGCGTCTGCAGTGATGCGGACGCTGAGCCGATCTGTCGTGGGGAAGAGGGAGCTGAGCCAGAAAGCCAGGCTCTCGATTTACCGGTCGATCTACGTCCCAATCCTCACCTATGGTCATGAGCTTTGGGTAATGACCGAAAGAACGAGATCGCGGATACAAGCGGCCGAAATGAGTTTCCTCCGTAGGGTGGCCGGGCTCAGCCTTAGAGATAGGGTGAGGAGCTCGGACATTCGGGAGGGACTCGGAGTAGAACCGCTGCTCCTCCGGATCGAAATGAGCCAGTTGAGGTGGTTTGGGCATCTGGCCAGGATGCCTCCTGGACGCCTCCCCGGGGAGGTGTTTCGGGCATGTCCTGCCGGCAGAAGGCCCCCGGGTCGACCCAGGACACGTTGGAGAGGTTACATCTCCAATCTGGTCCGGGAACGCCTTGGGGTCCTGCCGGAGGAGCTGGTGGACAAGGCCGGGGAGAGGACGGCCTGGAGCTCCCTAGTTGGGATGCTGCCCCCGCGACCCGGACCCGGATAAGCGGAGGAAGACGACGACGTTCTTAAATAAGTATTATTTGTAATTTTACTCACCCTCGTCTCCGCTTGTGATTCTTTCATGTCCTGGGTTAAACATATTCCCAACTTGACAGAATCAACTGGCCAAAAGTCCACCCCCATGGAAGAATCACTTCCGCCAGCCATCGCTAACACTCTAGCCAAACACGAAAGATCCATACAAGCCGTCCTTGACCAATTATCCTCCACTAATCAGCATCTGTTCCAGCTTGACTCCGCCCTTCGCCAGATGAATGACGCGATCCGTACTACACCTCCGTCTACCGCCACTTCCGCAGTCCCATCCCAGTCATCACTTCCGGTTCCTCCACCTGGGTTCCGTTTCCGGGTCGCTGAATCTCCTCAACCCGACACTTTTTCCGACGAACGAGGTAAATGCCGTAGTTTTTTATTATAATGTCAGTTAGCTTTTGAACATTCCCCAGAGACTTTTAGTAATAATTGGGTAAAGATCTCATTTATTGTTGGTTTGCTCCAGGGTAAGGCCTTACAGTGGGTTGAGGCCAGGAGTCACCAGCCTAATTATCTACGCGGCTCCCTCTCAGATTTTTTAAATGAATTCAAGCAGTTGTTCGATTTCACCAAATCTCCGGCTGAATAAGCGAAACATATTTGGAATCTGCAACAGGGTAAACAATCTGTTTCTGAGTTTGCCATTGAGTTCCGAACCCTCGCTTCAGTCTCCACCTTAGACGAGGCCTCCCTTAAAGCCGCTTTCTCTCAGGCCCTATCCGAGCGCATTAAGGATCAGTTAGCTTTTTGTCTGGAACCAGAGAACCTTGAGGCCCTTATCATCCTGGCCACCAACATCGAGAGGCGTCTTAAGGAGAGACACAGAACCAATCTGTTCAGACCCCCGCCGGTTACATTTCCCCCTCAACGAGTCCACCAAACTCCACAACAAGCCTCCCACCCTACAGGATAAGAGGAAATGATGCAGATCGGAAGAGCTCAACTGTCTCCTGAGGAGAAGCAGAGGCGTCGCTCCTCTGGCCTATGTCTGTATTGTGGTCAATCTGGCCATTTTGTCCCTACCTGTCTGGTTCGGCTAAAAGCCACCGCTCACCAGTAGAACCGGGATTACTGGTGGGTGGGAATGCAAGTAGCCCAAACTCCCGATGTTCCTTATCCTGTTCAGTCACCTTTAATCAAAAGACTTTTTCTGCAGATGCTCTGTTAGACTCGGGTTGTGAGAGAAACATTTTGGATCTAGCAGTCATTCAGCAACTAAACATCCCCACTGTTCTACTCCCTTCACCCATAAAGTTCTCCTCACTGGACGGGAGTTCTCTCACCACCATAACCCATCGCACAGCTCCGGTAAATCTGTTGGTTTCTGGAAATCACCACGAAGTAGTGAGTTTTTTCGTTTGTCCTTCTTCACAGTCTACTGTAGTCCTGGGCCACGAATGGTTGATCGATCACAATCCCCACCTTGATTGGAGAACAGGGTCGATCACTGCCTGGAGCCCTTTTTGCTTGTCTCACTGCCTCCTCTCAGCTCCCCTTCCCGTCGGAGAACCCAGGAGTCAGCCACAAGAGCCACCCAATTTGACGGAAGTCCCCTCAGAGTACCATGACCTTCAGCAGGTATTTAGCAAGGACCGTGCGTCCTCATTGCCTCATCATCAACCCCATGATTGTTGTATCGATCACGTTCCTGATGCAGTTTTACCCTCAAGTCGCCTATACAACCTGTCCAAACCTGAACAAGAAAGCATGGCTAAATACATCTCTGAGTCCCTGTCTGCAGGTATTATAAGGCCGTCCATGTCCCCCCTGGGTGCAGGATTTTTCTTTGTGTCAAAGAAGGACAGATCCCTACGTCCCTGCATAGACTATCGAGGACTAAATCAAATTACCATCAAGAACAAGTACCCTCTACCTCTACTCTCCTCCACTTTCAAACCTGTTAATAGTGACTCTGTCTTCACCAAGTTGGATTTACGCAACGCTTATCACCTAATAAGAATCCGGGAGAGGGGCGAATGGAAGACGGCTTTCAAGACCCCTCTTGGACATTACGAGTATCTGGTCATGCCGTTTGAACTCACTAATGCCCCTGCAGTCTTCCAGTCTTTGGTGAACTCTGTCCTAGGTGATTACATAAAGAAATTCGTCACGGTCTATTTGGATGATATTTTGATTTTCTCCAGGTCCCTCACAGAACACCGCCAGCATGTCCGAGCTGTGCTCCAACACATTCTCGAAAACCGCCTGTATGTCAAAGCCGAGAAATGTGAGTTTCACGTCTCGTCTGTCAAGTTCTTGGGTTTTGTCCTGGAGAGTGGTCGGCTGAAGACAGACCCTGATAAGATCGAGGCAGTTTGGACATGGCCAACCCCGGAGACACGAAAGCAATTACAAAGGTTTTTGGGTTTTTCAAATTTCTACCAATGTTTCATCAGAAATCACAGTCAGATTACCACACCCCTCACCCAATTCACCTCAGTCAAGGTTCCATTTCTGTGGTCCCCGGAGGCCGACCAAAGCTTTCAAAACCCTCAAGACCAGTTTCACCCAGGCACCCATTCTTACATGCCCAGACACCTCTCTGCAGTTCACCCTAGAAGTAGATGCATCTGGTACTGGAGTAGGTGCTCTTCTCTCCCAAAGACCACCGTCTCCATCCCTGTGCCTTTTTCTCCCGTCGTCTTTCATCTGCAGAACAAAATTACAACGTGGGAGACCAAGAACTTCTGGCCATCAAGCTGGCTTTAGAGGAGTGGCGTCATTGACTGGAGGGTGCAGAACATCCAATAATAATATGGACAGACCACAAGAATCTTGCATATTTAAAAGAGGCAAAAAGACTCAATCCTCGTCAGTCCCGCTGGTCGTTGTTTTTCTCCCGTTTCACCTTTGTTATCTCTTTCAGACCTGGCTCCAAGAACGTCAAGCCCGATGCCCTTTCCCAACAGTATGCTTCTGATAAAGACACCCAACCCACTACCATCCTGCCAGCCTCCTGCATTGTTGGCTCCATAGCTTGGGACATCACAAATAAGGTTAGACAAATAATCTAGACTGTTGATTACTTAAAATTTAGTTTAGCTGTGTTTTATTTCTCCTTTTGCATGCTACTTCATGCACTTTGGTCAGCTGTCATACTGCTCAAGTGTGGATATTGGATTAGAGATGAAGAGAGGAGGAGAGCTGGCATCAGCATTCTCTCTTCAACAAAAGAAATTGAAGGCAGCTTTTGTAATCAATTATTTCCTTTTAAACTGCTAAATAGTTAAAGGAAAATGTGTTTTAAGAATGCAAGATAGTTAGCATCAGTCTTGCCTCGTAATATAGAGGCACTATATAAAATCTTTCTTTCTGTCTTTCACTGCAAGAATTGTCCCCAATATTCTCTCTCTCTCTCTCTCTCTCTCTCTCTCTCTCTCTCTCTCTCTCTCTCTCTCTCTCTCTCTCTCTCTCTCTCTCTCTCTCTCTCTCTCTCTCTCTCCTGTAAATGAAGGAAGGACTCATATCATGTATGGATTTCAACTAAGAGAAGAACTGACAACTCTATGATGAGCAAGTGGCATCTGCAGGAGTGAAATCATTTACACAGGTTAAATAAAGTTCAAGGATGTATTGGATTTGGCTGGTTTTATTTTAAAGTTGCAGCTTAGGATCTAGCTGTAAACCCTCTCCTTCCTGCTTGTTTATTTCAATAATATCAGCGTTTTGCAGGGTTTGTTCCTCTGTTCTTTTGGCAGGGCTGAGGATGACAGCATTGCTCTCTGCCTGGAGTGTAGCTGAGTTTTTCCCAGGTGATAATTAAAGTGGATCGCTCACTGCTCGCTCATGCATGTGAATAAGTGCTGAGTTAATGGGTAGCAGGAAATGGGAAACTTTATTTTGCCGCTGTGGTGTTTGCTATCTGCTCGAGGTTTGTGTTAGCCAGGATGGTGTGCATTCATGTGACTGGTTTCACACTTAATCTGTTTTGTCACTAGTGTCACTTTTAATAGTGTTTCACATTGAAACGTTGTTTAGAGTCATTCCAGCAGGCTGTAAATATGCAGGAAAAGATGTGTAAGGTGCACATTCTTTTTTAATACATTTACCTGGCTTATTATACCCTGTGATTTACCTAATACCCATTATCACGGCCCTAATACAACTTCATTAGGTATTCAAGGTTGTTTTTCATTATTCCACCATAACAACAACACTGGTTGTACATCTCAGTCCTTGAACTACTAGATAAGAGATCGAAGGCTTAAAATTATCTGCAATGTTGATTTTTTTTGTTGTTGAGTGGGGCTAATTTGCAATTTCTGTACTGCCCATAGTAAACAAAGGCCCACATCACACAACTACGCATCTACACAGGAAGACTTTTCAGCAGTGGAAGCCTTTTTGCATCGTTACTATCAAACACAACCTTGAGCATCTCCTTTAGCTTCATACATGACATGTTTGGTAATGGGGCCTACATACATACGAGTATACTCAGAGGAACTTTAACAGTTACATGTCATTAAAACCAGCTTTAAAGTAATGTTTTGTGCTGGGTTTATTGTGCAGAACTAAAATATGAAGCAACAATCATTGTATCCTCAAATGGACGTACATTAATCCTGAATAAAACTATTATAAGCATTCAATGTTAAGTGAATTCTTGCTATTTTGCTGCATCTTGGATGAAACATCTTTAGTTACTTTTTAAATGCATTCATGGAGGATTTGCATATCGTAGAAAAACCTTGAGCTATTTCTGAACTCATCTTCCTGCTGTAAAACATGAATATAGGAGACACGTTTTCTGTTTTCCATTTAATGCCTTCCAATTTATCCTCATTTTCCATCTCTCCTGAGCAAAATTTAAATAGCGTGGTTACTGAATTCCTCCAGGATCCTTATAAATCAGCTTTAAAGCCCAGCCATATGGGAAGATGAAAGAGATAAACATGTAAACATTTACATCAGGAGACCATCCTCATCACTTGTCCTCTACTACATCATCTCTACGTTTCACAGAGGCATACGCTCTCCTACCGACAGGTCCCAGCAGGTCCCGTATTACGTTCCTGCTTTATAACACAGTGTTCTTACAGTTCTTTCACCATGATTACTGGAGTGCTGCACAAATCAGAAAAACTGAATTATTAGATGATAACATCTCACTTGGTTCTGTTCACATGCTCCCTTGTGGTTGTTCATGATTTTCAGAGCTGGATGCTGCTCAGATTCACCTGAATATAAATCCAGAGACAAGTTGCTGTTTGAGATTCTGCAGCATGCGCGCACACACACACACAACCTGTGTCAGCAATACAGGCTTCTGCAAGTTAAAACGTGCTTGAGAAGAATGCTAACTTCAGTGTAGGAAAATCCTACAAATGTTTGACTTGATGGAGCAACAAAATCTGATCAACTGATAACTTTATTAGCTTTATAATTTTACGTACAGGTTGAGTGTTTGTATTGGCTTTGTGTCTGTGTGTTGAGATGGGTTTCAGAACCCATGGTTGCCATAGAGACCAGCACTGGTGAAACAGGGCCTGAGGGAGACATCACTGGAGTTTGTGCAATTGTTGTTCCATTTGTTTTCTTCTTCTTCTTCTTCTTCTTCTTCTTCTTCTTCTTCTTCTTCTTCTTCTTCTTCTTCTTCTTCTTCTTCTTCTTCTTCTTCTTCTTCTTCTTCTTCTTCTTCTTCTTCTTCTTCTTCTTCTTCTTCTTCTTCTTCTTCTTCTTCTTCTTCTTCTTCTTCTTCTAGCACCCTTCCATGTGTGTGTTGTACCAGAAAAATCAAGTAAATGTGAAATTTAATGTAAAAGGCTTTTGACTTGTAAGAGTCTGTGCTAAGAATAAAATGTTTTTGATAATCTTGCACAAAACGGTCAGAAGAAAAATAAATCTTGGAGCTGTATAGCTGCAATAATAAATGCTGTTAACAACACTAATAATTACTTTTATTAATAAAACAATAGGCATTGTTCTCACAAAAGAACAATGTTAGAAGTCCAAAATCCAGCACTGCTCCTGCAGAAGGCAGCTATCTCACAATGAACACCATTTTTATTATATAATTAGATCTAGACATATAAAAGCCTCGTTTATTTATTTTTCATTGATCTTTGTGTTTAGCTTATTTTACTTGATTTGATTCCATGACTGATATCCATTACAGGCCAACTAAATATTTCTTTCCTGCAATTGATCAAAAATTATACCATATAAATGTTTTAGATTCATTCTCCATCAAACATGACATTTAGGTAATGTATTTTGAAGAAACATTTTATCATTATAGACTCTTGCATGATTCAGCTTTTTTACACTGACATTTGAAGATTGTGGAGCTAATTCTGGAGCAAGATTCCTCACAATAAAACACATTTAGGATTCAAGTCACAGATGTGTTACTGGCACTTAAGTGGTAATGACCTTCAATTTTCAAATATTAGAAATATAAATTTTTACTGAGAACCTTTTTAGTTTAAAAACTAACGTTGAATTGTAAAAAAAATGGGAAAAAAGAGACCCGTGACAATACTGGAAAAAAATTTTAACCCTCTGGAGGCAGGCATTGCAGATTTGCAACGTTAAAACCTATCTACCTGGTTACTCCACATACGTAATTCATGCTCATTTTTTAACTCAGAAGTTCCCCTGAAGGACTTAGTTGTTCGTCCTTTTATGAAAACTTGTTTTGAGCCTGAGAGGGTTAACCTCACTATCATAAGCATCTGTCTATGATTAATGACAGTAGCCAGGAGTACAGTTTAAGTTTAAGTAAGTCAGGCACATCCTTGGGCAGCCCGGTGCTGTTGCAGAATTTTATTTCAATGTATTTTTACATTCACTGATAACATCTGCATGATAAAAACTCTAAATTAACTTTATTTAGGTGGGTGACTTCAACACTGAGTAATGCACAAAGTTGAGATTTGACAGTTAGTTAAATTCAGGGTTCAAAAACTCAGTTTCAGAAATTTTGTGCATCAACTGATGTTACTTGTGATATTTAGCATGAAAATTAAGTGGAAAACATCTAGATATTGGCCATGAAATCAGCCCATAAAAACCAGTACATACAGTACATTTAGTACATACCCGCCATTGGCTGACCATATCACCTACATATCGGCAACAGAAAAACCAGTATTGGTCGACCCTTGTAGATGAATGAATCTGACATATGGCTCAGACTTTTTTCTGCAGCCAAAAAGAATCCAATTAGAAATAATTGGGACCACGAAGTTAAACTAAACACACTAATCACTTAGCTATCACAAACGCTAACAAACCTAACCCCCAAACCAAATTTTATGTAGCTTCATTGAACTTCAATGTTTTAGATGTAAAGCTACCTTTAAGCAGATGATGAGTTTTGGGGACTGGTTTATCATCTTCCTGAGGACTATCATGATAATATCTAGCTGGGAGAATGGTTTTTTTGATGTCTTCTTCCATCTGTCTGTTTCAAAGAGAAAGGGTGAGAAGTTTATTTTGACTGTACTGAAACTTTCCCCCCAGATTTCTTCCTCTCCTCTCAGATCTTTCTATATATAGCTGTGTAGTGTTATGTGTTTCATGTGGTTTTAAAGAGAGCCTTTTATTTTATTCCTGATAAGAAAAAAAGATGTTGTCAGTTAGCTTGCCGGGTTTTTCAGCGTGTCACAGCTGGAAGGCCAGAACCAATCTCCACAGACTGGTTTTGTCAGGATCCATTCTGCATTGGGCTTTTGTTTCTCTTACCATCCCAGGAGAGCTTCCCATGAGCCTGCGAGACATGACTGAATGTCAGCTTCTCTGAAAAGAACATCCCGCTGGTGTCTCAGCAGGATGCTGTTTAAAGGAGGTCTCCAAGACAGTCAAGCACAAACCAGTAAAGCCCTGCCTGGGAATCAGGACTGTATGGAGCATTATGCACTGCTGTGGCCTAAAAAGAAGCTGTGGAATTTTTTTGAGAAAGAAAATCAAGCTGACGTCTGAAAACATGGAGAAAAGTTAAATTTAGAGGGATATATATTTATTTTTCAACATAAAAGTCAGTCTGAGCTCACCTCAGTTTTGAAAGATGCTACTTCCCAGATGTTACAGAGTTAGAACTGTTTAGCAGAAGTCCCATGGGGTAGCTGTCATTATGTGATGCATATAAAAACACAAAAGTACTTTGGCGTATGAGGAAGCCACTATTGAGAGATTTAAAGTAGGTGAGGAATCATTATAATGAAGATGTCAGTGAGTGACTCATCGCAAAGACATTTTTCTTAGAAAGCTCAAATATAAAGAGGGAAACTTTTGAATTTCTATAAAGCAGAAACAAACACACAAAAATAGAAATGTTGTAACTTTTGAGGTTCCTCCAGAGTGGGCGGTGCATCCCACAGTAGAGAAGGTGCCTGCAGGGCACCATCGTCATCTCAACCAAAGACGGGTGACCTAAATGTTCACCAACCAAATTTGTGATTAAAAGGATTCATTCAGTGAGCATCTTTTTTTGTCAGGGAATACCAAAGAGAGGGGGAAAAAGTTTCTGCATAAGTAAAATATGTTGCACAACAGGGTGAATTATAGATCGAGGGAGTGCAGGCAGAGCAGCTCAAAAAAGGGAATGTGAAAGACGGTACTGGATTGATTTAGAAAATCTCAGAAGCGGCTCGTACTTCCAGACATCACTCCACATTTATATCTCATTAATTTCAACAACAAGAAGTTGTGCTTTTGCATGTCACGGACCAAATTACCCATGATGCATATTAGACAAGTTTCTGACAGACACTATTAGCTTGTGTTGATCATTGCCTGAGAGCTTGTTGTCTCCTCTTCTTACACCCAAACGCTGTCCTCCATCATGTCTTGGGATGCTTTGACAAAATAAACCCACAACAAGCTGATGAATTATTCAAATTTGACTCGGTGATGTATGCAGACACGGAGAGATGCTGTTATTACTACCAGCAAACCTCTTCCTCCAGATGACTGAACCTCCAATCCCACCAATTACCATCCTCAGCCCTGCAGCTCTCAGGCACCAAGTGGGAAGAAGAAATTGGAGCTGCTGCCTACATAATTCTAAGGTTGTTGCAGTCAAAACTGCTGCAGTGCAACGATGGAGGTGATGGACTTCATCAGTTCATTGTGAGACAGAAAGTGGATTACAATTGTTTAGGGCTGCCACAATCGATTGTATTAATAGTCAACTAATCACTAGTTTTTCTGGCGATTATTCCTCTAATAAAGGATAGCTTATTGCACCAGGATGCAGCTGCTCTAAAGTACCAATCATTAGCTTCCACACTCACCTAAAGGATTATCCAATCCAATCCAATCCAATTTTATTTATAGAGCGCATTCACAAGGCATTACAACCAAACAAGGCTCTGTACACTAAAAATGTTAGTTAATAAAACCGGCGTTATACAAACATGTCGAACACAGATAAAAATTAAAAAGGAAATACAACAAAATTCCGAAAACTAACAGCTGAAAATCAATAAGACACAGGGAGAATAAAAATTAGAAAAACATTTTAAAAAAGAACCTCAATAGTACGGAAGTCGATATTGTGTCCGTTTTTAAATAATGCAGATGTAAGTGAGGTTCATAATTAT